AAATAAAAGTTCTGTCACTCACCAATGTGATTCTGCACAAGTCAAATTAACTGAAATTTAGTTTCCTCATCTATAATATGCAATTATTATGTATGAGTGGTTTGCAAGAATTAGATGAGACATAATCCATTCAAGGCAAAACAGTATGCACATTGATAAAGCCTAAGGACAGATGTGAGCTCTCAAGGAGAGGAAAAATAATAATTAGGAAGGAAAAGCTAATAGTTACTTATATCTCTTGTTAAAAAAAAACAAACAGAAAAGCACTGGAATCTCACTAAGGAAAATGTAATATTAAATTGTTTTGGGGTGGAGGTGGGTGCAGCATAATTTGGTAAAAATAAAAGCACTGGTGTGCCAAGTACTAACTTACTGGCTTTTGGCTCCAAGCATGATTCTTCGCCTGACTTTTTGATAACTGGACACTGGGTTGGACTCTGTAACATCTCTCTATAATTACTACCTATGCTTGCTAACTAAAAGGTGTGTGTGTGTGTGTGTGTGTGTGTGTGTGTGTGTGTGTGTGTGTGTGTGTGTACACAAGCACGTTGTTACTGGAGCTTGAACTCAGTGTCTGTGTGCTATAGCTTTTTCTGCTTAAAGGTTTTGCTCTACCCGATCCACAGCTCTACTTCTAGCATTTTGCTGGTTAATTGGAAGTAAGAATCACCTGGATTTTCCTGCCTGGGCTGTTTTTGAACAGCGATCCTCTGATCTCCAACTCCTCAGTAGCTAGGATTACAAGCATGCACCATGGACCTGGGTACCTCCAGAAGAGGGGTTACATAGATAGTGTGTAGCTTGTATGCTTTGGTATTCCACATGAGTACCACTTATACCCTATAGACAGTTTCTTCATCACTAGCAGGCGGTCCCCTGGGTAGATCTTCTTGGAAAAGGTTTGAACTTTCGCTTTGGAGGAAAGGGGGGCTCTTTTGCTATCTAGGGTACATTCATTGTCCTCTCTTTAGCAAAAGTAACAGCCCAATGTGGGAATAACAGACCTATGTGGGAATAATTAAGCAAGGACACCAAATAGGTTTTAACTTTAAGGGAACGGTGAATTGGAAACAAGTCCACTCTTCTCCCAAAGAAACTCTAGGAGCACTGTATTGGGCCAAAGAGGTAGTTGCTAGTCAGCCAATTTATGGATTTGCAGCCCAAATTCTCATCTTCAACTTATCTCAGAACCCCAACTTGTTAATTTAGTTTAAAAGTGCTTTGGGACTTTGAGGTATAACACAATGGGAGAGTGTATACTTAATATGAACAGAGCCCTGAGTTCGAACCAGCATTACCCTCCCACAAAAAAAAAAAGAAAAACAAAAGTGGTTCTGATTGAACCTGGAAACTTCCAAACCCGAAAAAAGACAAAAAAAAAAAAAAAAAAGTGAAATGCTCGGGTGTGATATCACCTGTAATCCCAGCACTCAGGACACTGAGGCAGGAGAATTGGTTGTTTGAGGCCAACCTAATGGAATATGGTGAGACCCTTCTAAAAACCTATCAACCAGCCAACCACCCCAAACACACACGAAAAAGTTCTCAGATTCAAGGAACATCTGGCCAGAAGAAACGCCAACAAAACCTAAAGGATGAAACAAGAGCGAATGGTAGCAAACTACAGCTTGTGGTGTGCTTTTGTAGATTTATGCAGCCATATGCACTCATTATCTGATTAATTCCAAGTAAACAAACTGTAGGACCCCTTAAGTCCTAAAATATCTACTATCTGGTCTTCATATTTTTCTAATTTCCACTTGGGGAATTACATCATTAACGTTTATTAATTATTGATTAGATTGGATTTAAGTATGTCTTTTCTTGCTTTTCCCTGTTGTGTTTTGGCATCTTTTAGTTTCTGGATTGTTTATACACTTTTTAGTATTGCATGTCTATTATGTATGTACATCTAATGTTTGCTCTAGAGGTTATAATATTCACCGCAAACTTTCCACGGCTTCAGAGTTAATTCTTGTTATACTTCAAAGTTTAACAGCCAGAAACTGTGAACAATTCTGTGACATTGAACATATTAACAATGGACAGTCTGCATGCAACACAATACTGACTCACAACCTCTGCAGCAACAACCAATCCTAGAAACCAAATGACAACTTTTGTAGCTATCCATTCAAAATGGCTAGCATTAGTTCAGTGACTGTCAGCATACAGTATTTCACCACTACATCCAATTCATGTCCAATGCCCCAAAAAATGTATCTCCAAGATAAACAGAATGCCAGATGTTCGTTGGTCACCCTCAACTTCCTTGGGCTTAACAACTGAGCTTAACTGTCTGAGCTTTTCTGGCATTGTGAAGCTGTTCCACTATTAACAAAGTCTATCAGACAAAAGCAATCACCTTTGACTGCTTTGCAGCTAAGTCTGAACAGTTTATCCTTATTTTGGATGGCTTTATTTTCATAATCCAAATCTTCACCAATAGCATAATGTCAAGTAACTATATTGGATTATGGATTTGAAAGGAAAATGAATAAGCTACAAATTGGATACTGTAAACATGTTAAGATAGAAAAAACATTTCATCTAATTTCTTTAAAGGTACAAACTTGAAAACATTAAAAAAAGACTTTGTTTGAAGACTTTGAAGACTGAATTAGAATTGGGGAATTCCTTCAATCTGTGGCCAGGCTATATACAACTGGGTCTTAGGCTCTGCTTTCTGATAATTATTACGCTGAACCTAAAGATCAGTTAGAGTTGCAAGTCTTAAGACCTCTCATTCCTGGGCAAGTGCACGACTTTCCAGGTTCCCTGGTGTACACAAATCCTAATGAATCCTACATATCCCCTCCCTCTCTGGCCTTCCATTATCAGATTTTTTGACCTATATGTAGCTTACCCTTGGCCCCATTTGGCTGCAATTGTATCTTTAAATGATTGTGACAATTACTGCCTGTGAGGTTGATCCAAACTAGAGGATGAAACAAAAGTGAATCTCTGAGTTGGATCTCAAGGAAACATCAGGTCAAAATGCACACTATTTTTGTGAAGACAAGATCTGAATTGTACTCTTTCTTTGGCACCACCAAGCTGTACCAGGAATGCAGGTTGATGTTTTAACAACTGCCAAGCTGAGAGTGCAGAAATACCAAAATGGCTCAAAATTTATGACAGTCTTCATTAAGCACCTTCTAAGTTATTTTTTTAAAATCAGATATTAGAGTTCAAAAAAAGTCACCTTAATGGTGGTTCCAGTGAATGAACAGATCCCTCATGCTGCCAGTTTTAGTAACATCAGTCTGGGTAACATTTTAAAATAACTAAAATTTCAAAACAGATTAAGTTAGTGGTTGTCAGGGGCAGAAAGAAGGATGGAGGGAAGTGAGGCTTATAAGTGAGCAACTTATATTACTGGGCCAGGCTAAAATAATTTTATTGTGAGACCATTTTCCTTCTCTGTGTGCAATCTAAGTGCATATTTTGAGCTCTTAGGAATAACTTTCTAAAGCTTTGTGAAGAATGTAGCAATAAAATCTAATATGAATTATGAAAAAAAATAAATGAGCCACTTGATAGATTCTCCTGCTATCAAGGATGTTCAGGATCTTGATTTTGGAGGTAGACAAACAATGATAATCAAGTAATCAGAATTGGATGCAGAGTACAAAACTAAAGACTATATCAATCACTATTTCCTGGAGGTGATATGTATTACTATTAGAAAATATTAATACTGTGGAAAACTGTACCAAGTATAGATCTTTTCAGTTATGAGCTGAATATGTACTTAGAATTATCTTAACAAGAATAATCCTGGAAGTGGCGCTGTGGCTCAAGTGGTAGAGCGCTCGCCTTGAGCTGAAGAGCTGAGGGACAGCACTCAGGCCCAGAGTTCAAGCCCCACGACTGACAAAAAAAAAAAAAAAAAAGAAAGAATAATCTTTACTTAGTTTTGCTGATCCTAGGACTTAAACTCAGGACTTGTTCGCTGTCCCAGACCCTTTCTGTTCAAGACTAGTGCACTATCACTAGTGTTCTACTTTCAGCTTTCTGGTGGTTAACTGGAGATGAGAGTCTCATGGACTTTCCTGCCTGGGCTGATTTTGAACTATGATCCTTTTATCTCAGCCTCCAGAGTAGCTAGAATTATAGGCTTGAGCCACCAGCACCCAACAAAAAAATAATCTAATTTTTAAAAATAGATGAGGGGCTGGGAAGGTGGCTCAGTGGTAGAGCGCTTGCCTTGCATGCACGAGGCCCTGGGTTCGATTCCTTAGCACCACATAAGCAAAAAGAAAAAAGCCGGAAGTGGCGCTGTGGCTCAAGTGGTAGAGCGCTAGCCTTGAGCTAAAGAGCTGAGGGACAGCATCCAGGCCCAGAGTTCAGGCCCACGACCGGACCCCCCCCCCAAAAAAAAAAAAATAAATAAAAATAAAAATAGATGAGAAATAACATTTTAGGAATACACTAGTCAATTTTCTGTCACTATGTCCAGCACCTAAGGCCAAAATGGTAACTAATTCTGTTAGTCTCTGGCTAAATCTTCTAAAGAATAAATTAATCAAAACTGTGCCATATTTGTTAGTACTTACAGATGTTAAGAACATCACAGTTGATACAAACTAAAGTAGTTATAGAATAAGCCCCATACTGATATATTAAATCGAAGTATCAGATAACCAAATATCAAGTTTCAAGAAGCTTTATTTTTGTTCAAGTTGTAAAATTTAAAAGCCATTCTTGCTAATAGTATAAATTTTGTCCTACAGGCAATAATGTTCCTTTATAGGAAACCACTGAGATATTTTGTTAAAATAAATAGATTACATTTATCATTTTAGTAACATGTCTTAATAATTAAGTAGCCTATTAAGGTTATAAATCAATTCATTATCTGAGGGCTATCGTTATTATCAAAGAGCTATCCTAATTCAATTATTTATAAAATGTATTTTTGTGTGCAATTTTACAAGGCTGAAGTTATCCCATGGACACAGAAAGCAAACAGAAATATACTTTCTCATAGAAAACTATTTTGGTTGTCAATTAGGCTTTATTTTTATATACATAAAATATATTTACATTTTTGTCAAAATAAAGATTTTTGAAGTATACAATGATGGCATATAAGTTCACACAAATCCTCATTCACTTAAGGTTACAGGAAAAAAATTAATGCTCTAAACAAAATTTTAAAATAATGGCCACCAAGTTTCAAAAAAATGTAGGGACAGTATTTAATATCTTTTCCAAGTTCTGACAAATGTAATCAGTCTTCATTGTCATGTCTGATTAAATCAGTTTTAGTTTCTTCATAGTTCTCCATCTGTCTTTTAACATGACACTTGTTCTGTTTTTGAATTTGTAATGTAATAATATTTTTGTCCAGTTTCCTTCTCCAAATTTCCTCACACCAGACTTCAACTTACTGTCTTCTTCCCAAAGCCATGCCTTTTGGTAAAAAGTGGAACAGTTACTTACAGAAGCAATTCTATAAAAAGAATGCATCTATCTACTATAAATACAGCTATTTTTAATTAAAACTGCTTAATATCTTTCTCAAAGGTGAAAAAAATTTCATCTTCTTTTAAGAACTTCATATGACTATTTCATATAACATATTAAGGTAGTTATTTCTGTTCAAAAACACAAAAATACTATTAATGTATGCTAATAAAGTACATTATGTTTAAGTGGAAAGAAATATAATATCATACACAAAAAAGTACTGATATTTACAATGCAGCAGGTGACCAACTAGTACTCCTTCTCTTGGCATACTACAGGACAAATATGACTACTCTAGATGGTTATTTACTGTGATCAGCCTATGAGAAATGCCCCAGGAAGACATTATTACACTTAGAAAGAATCTAGTTTGTTAAGTGTCTGTGGCTCATGCTACAATTCTAGCTCTCAGGAGACTAAGATTTGAGGATTACAATTCAAAGCCAACTCAGACAGACAAGACTCTTTTCCCCAATTAAGCAATAAAAACCTGGAAGAAGTGTGGCTCAAGTGGAAAAGTGCTTCTTGAGCAAAAATGTTAAGCAAAACATGAGGCTCTGAGTTCAAGTTCCAGTATTGGCACACAAACAGAACAAAACAAGACCTCATGCTCATTTGGATGGCTACTATAAAAACATCCCTCTCCCGATTCAGAAAAAAAAAAAAAAAAAGAAAAATAGGGATTCCAAGAATTACGTGTACAGTAATGTTCATAGTAACATTATTCACAACACAAAAAATGTGGAATCACCCCACAGTACAACCCCTGTTTTCAGTATATTTGATGTTGGCATAATTTGTGGAGGAGAAGGGGAAAAACAAGTCGTTTAAGGATACAGGTGGACCCGTTGCAACAATGAGGGGTACAAGTTGTCATGTCAAAAACGAACTTTACAACTTTGGTGGGGGGAGGGGGGAGGATTGGGTGGGGAGGGCGGGGGGAGGCTGGGAAGGGATGTGAAGGGTAAACAAAGGAGGAGGCTGCAATGCTTGATAAGAAATGTACTCATTATCTTGCCCATGTAATTGTAACCCCTCTGTACAGTATGTTCACAATAAAAAAAAAATGTGGAATCAACTCATGTCCATCAGTGAGTGAATAAATCAACTACATGTGGTATGTAGATATAAAAAATACTATTCATATCTGTGTGTGTGTGTGAGAGAGAGAGAGAGAGAGAGAGAGTGTGAGAATCCTAGGACCTGAACTCAGGGCCTGGCCACTGAGCCACAGCATTACTTCGAGCTTTTCTGATGTCTAACATAATGTTCATGGACTTTCTTGTCTGGGCTGGCTTTGAACTGTGATTCTTACATCTCAGTCTCCCGAGTAGCTAGGATTATAGGAGTGAGCCACCACTGCCAAGAAACTATTCATTCTCTGTCTGTCTGTCTGTCTGTCTGTCTCTGTCTCTCTCTGTGTAGGTGTGTGCATGCTGGTTCTGGGCTTGAACTCGGGGACTTGGGTGCTGTTCCTGAGTTTTTTTGCTCAAGGCTAGTATTCTATCGCTTGAGTCATAGCTCCACTTCTGACTTTTTGGTGGTTAATTGGACATAAGACTCTCATTGAATTTCTTGCTTGGGCTAGTTTTAAACTATGATCCTCGTATCTCAGCTTCTCAAGTAGCTAGGATTACAGGGATGAGCCACTAGTGCCAGCTTAACTACTCAGTCTTCAAAAGGAAATTCTGGCAAATCCTACAACAGGGATGAATCTTGAGGGCACTAGGCTAATTTAAACAGTTGATAGGAAAAGGACAAGTATTATTAAATTCTACACAGAACGAATGGTTAGATTCAGAGACAGAAAGTAGAATGAAGGTGCCTGGTAAGGAAGAGAGAGCAGTAACAGAGTTCTTGCTTAGTGAGTTTAGTTTGTTCTGCAACATCAGAAAGCTCTGTGAATGGGTGATGATGATGGTATATATGCAATATCAATCAATGTATAAATACCACCGAACTGCACAGGTAATCCATCTCTAGGACCACAAAAAAAAATACTTCATTTATTTTAACTTATTATACCTGATTCTATTTGAAATAAAACACAGAGGAAGAGTTTAAGATGATCTAAGCTGTAGGACATAAATAAAACCCATGTGCTTTGTTCTATTATCTATTACATTTTCTTTTTCTTACAAACAAAAATTAGGTTAAAAAGGGAAAAACCACTAACTTTTTTCAGGTTTTTCCACTTCTTTATACATGGTATAATTTCATTCTTTCTAGTGGATAAGTAAAATTCCATTGTGTATACTACCACATTTTCTTGATTCATTTGTCAATTGAGGGTGGTAAAAGGAAACACATATACTCTAAATCCTGGTATGCAACAGCTGGAGCTCTTGTCAACCTATTATCATATTATCACTCCATGATAGAGATAGCAGGAATAAAAAGGAATCCATGGGCTGAGGGAGAACATTTGCTTAGTATGTATGTGTAAGACTCTGAGTTTCTTTGCAGATGAAAAGAAAAGAAACATAAATGGTACATGCAGTAAGTAAATCGAAAGTAGGAGTTGCTTTTTATATTCACTGGGAGTAGAAGTCAAGACTTAAATAAATAATTTAAGTCATAGCAAATACCTCTAGTGGCCTGCAGCTTGTGGCTGTACACTAATAGGTTGTAAGATAAAAATCTACCTTAAAGAAGATAGGAAAAAGTTCCACACATGATAAAATAACAAAGACTGCATTTATTTACCTGCTATTATCAGCTAGAAAATATGTACTTTCAGATATTGGACAGATAGCCCAAGACTACACGCACTCACGCACTGAGTGGGGAAACAAATTAGGCTCTAAAACAGAACTGGTTTAATAATAAACATTTCTGATAAAATCTATTAACAAGGTATCATTTGAAGTGCAGAAGTCTTTATTTAAATTGGACCTGTTTGGAAGACATGAATATGAAAGACTATAATGTGGACATAAATTTCACTTTGTATGCAATGAATTGACTTTATAACTTTAAGGCTCATAAGTATTATTCAAACATAACAAAAATACCTGTTTTTTCCTAGATCTCTGCTTTCGGGGACTTATGCAATGATCCTCTGCAGCGTATGATCTCTTATTTTCAGTGGTTCTTTTGTTTTCTTTTTTCCTTTTTCCACCTAAAAAAATAGAAAAATAATCATCGATATTGTTTCAAATTAGAAGAAAATGAGGATTGTATTTTCAAAGGTTATCATGAAGTTCCTATCTGCTATTCTAAAAAAAAAAAAAAAAGCTCTGTATGTTTAATTCTATTCCTTCAAAACTGGAAGCTAATACAATCCAAGGATTATGACTGAAAAAGCAGAAGTGTTTTTTAGACAAGTCATCTCAGCTCTGAGCTTGTATTTTCTTTCTCTATTTAAAAAAGGAAACATATTTCATATAAAAATCACTGAAGTTTTCTTACAATGTTTAAGAACACCTGACATAGCCAAGAAATACAGTAGCTGTTTCCCTCCCTTTCTACTCCTTCCCTTCATTGTTTCTCCCTCGCTCAGTCAATTTAGTAAGATAAAAAATAAATGTGTATTGCTAAGGAAAATAGAACGGTAATTATTAAAATACTGTAGCAGCTTAGAGACAGAAAAGCTAAAATAATCTATAAGTAAAAGGGATTAGGAAGATGGTTGGACATAAAGATCAGTATACAAAAAGCAATAGAAACAGGATATGATGCACATGTCTATAATTCCAGCACACAGAAGGCTGATGCGGAAAATCAGGTTCAAAGCTGCCTGGGCTACATAACGTATTTTTTGTCTAAAACAACAGAACAAAATAGTACTTTTATACACCAACAGCAAGTAGCTATTTATATTAGTAACAAAAGTAATAATTCAAGCAGTAACTGTAAAAGTGATGCAAGACTTGTATGAAGTAAACCAAATTTTTCATATACGCAGATTAAAGATATATCAAGTTCTCACATAAGTAATCTATTGTTATAACATGAATTTAAATAAAAATTTCAATGGGGTTCTTTATATAGCGTAAGAAGATACTTCTAAAATTACTCAAGTTGGGAAAGGTACTTCATCAGGGTCCCCGTGCAAGCCTGCAGTTTTTGTTGAATATACAAGGCTTATTCATTTCTTGTATTATACAGCATCGCTAGTGAGATAAGCAATTAAGCAAGTGAGGGAAATCAAAGCATGACCATGGGCTTGCTCTCTTCTTGGGGGAAGAATTGGTTTACTATGTGTTAATGTTCCGGGACTTACTCAAAAAGTACTAGGTGGGAGAGTGTCTAGCAAGATGAGGCCATATTTTCAAACCCTAGTACCAGGAAAAAAAAGATAACAGTGGTGAGCCCTTGGTGCCCAATACCTCAGGCAAAATAAAACCTGTTCCTCACACAGCACCTCTGTGGGCCCACTGCATTGGCAATAGGACTTGGGATAAGGGAATCAGCACAACTGCTCTGACGCCATGCAGTCATTATGCTGCACTAAACTATCTTAACACTCAGTAAGTTTATTTTTTTTTTGGTCCAGTTGTGGGGCCTGAACTCTGGGCCTGGGTGCTGTCCCTCAGCTCTTCAGCTCAAGGCTAACACTCTACCACTTGAGCCACAGCGCCACTTCTGGCTTTTTTTCTTTTTGCTTATGTGGTGCTGGGGAATCGAACCCAGGGCCTCATGTGTACGAGGGAAGCGCTCTACCACTGAGCCACCTTCCCAGCTCTGACACTCAGTAAGTTAAAAGTTTACCTCTGACACCTAGATGGGTAGCAGGTTTATTGCTTATAATCCTCTATGGTTGAGTTTTCATCCATGAAAATACAGATGATCAAAAACACTAAGAATAACAAACTGAGAAAAAAAAAAAAAGAGTAAGCTCTGCCGGGTTGCCAGTGGCTCATGTCTGTAATTCTAGCTATTCAGGAGGCAGAGATCTGTGTGCCAGCCTTATCTCCAATTAATCACCAGAAAACAGGAAGTGGTGCTGTGGCTCAAGTGGTAGAGCTAGCCTTGAGCTGAAGAGTTCAGGAACAGTGCCCAGGCCCAATATTCAAGCCCAACAACTGGAAATAAACAAAACAAAACAAAACCAAAACCAAAAACCAAAAAAACACTAAGCAAAGATACTTCTGAAGAATAGTAAGACTGCCCTAACACATATTTATCAAGTGATTACAAAACTGCAGTATCTGAGACAATACATTTTGTCATCTAGGGCTGAATCATAAGCATAGAAGATGAGATATAAACTAAATTCATAAAAAATAAAACAATAGCAAAAACTTTCCCTAAACTTGGGAAAGCTATAGTCACCCAGGAGGGGAGATAAGACCAGAAAAAAAACCTCTCTACATCATATTATGGTTAAAATATTAAGCATACAGAACATGAGAGAATTCCAAAAGCTGTGAGAGAAGAATGAAGTCATATATAAAGGAAAACCCATCATAGTAGTAGTTTTCTCAACAGAAATTTTACACACAGAAGAGGAAGCTATTATAATCATGAAAATAAAGCTCACTTTCTAAAACTGAAGATAAATGAGGAAAAAGAAGAACCAAATATTTCAAAAACAGAACATAATACATACATTTCAGTAATAACTGATATTAATGGTCCCAATTCTCCAATTTCAAGATATTGACAGGACTCAATTGTTTGTTGCCTAAAAGGAACACATTTCACTGACAAAGTAAAAGGAGGAAAAAAGATATTCCAAGCAAATGAAGACCGAAAGCATGCAGAAGTAGCTACATAAATATCTGAGAAAGCACCTGATGTATATCAGATTTAACAACTATAAATACACATACCAGATGCTAGTCCACCCAGTTTTACAAAACAAATGCTAAGTGACATAAAAGCATGAATTAACCCCTATCATTAGGAGACAAATCATACAGGTTAAAAAAAAAACAAAAAAAAACAATCAACAAATGGCCTAACAGGTATCTTCAGAATATTCACCCAATAGCTGCAGAATACACATACTTCTCAGCAGACCAGGACCTTCTCTAAAACAGATTAGGACATTAAGCAAGTCTTAATAATGCAAGAAAATGGAAGTAATTTCCCTAGAAGTGAATGAAAATGAAAACAGAATCCATACAAATTAATGGAAGTGGATCTAAGATGGAATTTAATAGCTATAAATTGCCTACATTAAAAATATGTCAAATAAATAACATATAATGCACCTCCCAGGCTTAGGAAAAGAGTAAGACAACTCCCAAATTAGTAGAAGAAATAATCAGTTGAAATTAATGAAATTAACTTAAAAAAATATAGTAGGTGGCAGTAGATGGCAGATCAGAAGTATCTGCCATTTTCACTGTGAATGACCATATGGTAACACAGAAGGGACTAGACTCTGAAATGAGAAAGGGTGAAAAGTGGAAGAGAACTAGCAACCAAAATGGAGGTGACAGGGTGGCAAAAACAACAATGAAACAACCCCAGCAGAAAAGAGGCATCAAGGAATCTGAGCCAGTTTCTGGCTCCCCCAACTAGGAGGGGAAATTTATTCAATATAAGGTAAAAAATCACACAGTCCTCCTATAAACTGTTCACTCTACTTGCAGGAGAAGTTCACATAGCCCACAAGCCCTAAAACCCTAGCACAAGAATTTGTGAGGCAGGACTCCCTGCAGTATATGAGACTAACTAGCCTCCATGAAGAAAGGTGTTTGTGGCCCCTGATCTTGGAATGCAACAATGAGTCATCTTGAGAGCTTTGTTGGATTGAGCTCCTCTGGAGGCCTGGGAGTGTTCACCTGTTGTTATCTCCTATATCACACCTGGATGTACGTGTTTCTTTTCTTTTCTCTATTTTTTTTCTTTTTTTTCTTTTTCCAGAACCAGGGTTTGAACGCCAGACCTAGCACTTGCTCAACTACACTCTAACACTTAAGCTACACTTCCAGACCTTAAGTGTGAAGATGAAGTCTCCACTGACTTTCTTCATTTTGGAAATGGAGTGTACCAGACTTTTCTGCCTCAGCTGGCTTTGATCTTTGATTCTCCAGATCTTAGCCACCTGAGCAGTAGGATTACAGGTGTGAGCTACTAGTGCCCAACTTGAATAGATATTTTTCAAATGAAGTGTATAAATGGTTAGTAAATGCATGAAAAAAATATTCAAGATCCTTAGCAATCTGGAAAATATAAATCAAAATGACACTGAGATTCTACCTCACACCAGACAAAATGGCTATAATCAAGAAAAATTCTAGCAAGGATGTTGGGATAAACAGTGCTGATAGGAATGTAAATTAATGCAGCCACTATGGAAAACAGTTTGGAGGGTTCACAAAATTGAAAGGGCTAGAATGAGCATGGTTCAAGTAGTAGAGCACTTGCTTAGTCATTACAAGGTCCTGAGTTCATACCCAGTACCACTAAAGGGAAAAGAAGCGAAAAATAGAACTTTATGATCTAGCCACACCAATTCTGGATCTACACTCAGAAGAACAGCCTAGCTGACAGATGAATGGATAAGTATATATACATATGGATTTTCAATTTATTAGAACTAAATTAGGTCATTTGCTGGAAATGGATCATGTTAAGTGAAATTAACCAACCCCAAAAGATAAATATCAGATTTTCTCTCATTTGTAGAAAACAAATCATTAGGGGGCAACAAAACAATTGGTGAGGTAGATGGGAAAGGAAAAAAAGGGCAGGGATAAAGGGATAAGAAAGCATAATATGATGGCCAGTCTTGGTGTCTGAGTGATTTCCCAGAGCCCAAAAAAGGGACTGAGTTTCCAGAGCCCTGAAGACAAGGGGTAACATACCAAAATATGGACTCATTTTCACTCCACTTTCATTGGCCAAGCAGCAGCCAAGAACAAAGGCCGTATCTCCCGATACCTCACAAACAAATGCAGTACTGCCTCCCGAATTGATTGCTTCTCTGAGGTACCCACAAGTGTATTTGGGGAGAAGCTTCAAGAACAAGTTGAGGAACGATTGTCCTTCTATGAGACTGGAGAGATTTCACGGAAGAATCTGGATGTTATGAAGGAAGCAATGGTTCAGGAGGAGGAAGCAGCTGCTGAAATTACTAGGAAGCTTGAGAAACAGGAGAAGAAACCCTTGAAGAAAGAAAAGAAGCGACTGGCTATGCTTGCCATGGCATCTCCAGAAAATAGCAGTAGTACTCCAGAGGAGAATGAGGAAACACATGAAAAACCCAAAAAGAAGAAAAAGCAAACATGTGAACACCGTTATATATTACAGACTGTGATAGACAATTTGCTCCAGGGAAGTTAGAATGAACTTGTGACTTTAAATGAGCATCATTATTCCACAATACTGTGAATTTCTGGAAATTATGTAATCACTTAATCACAATCAAAAAAAAAAAAAAAAAAAAAGAACTTCGGGGAAGGGAGGGAGGGAGGGGATGGTAGGGGGAAAACAATGGAGGGAGTAACAATGTTCAAGAGGAAGTGTACTCATTACCTCACTCATGTAACTGTAACCCTCTGTATAGTATCTTTACAATAAAAAAAAAGAGAGAGAGAAAAAAAAAAGCCCCAGGAGGCTCCTCAAAAAATAGGATGGAAGAACCAGAGCCCTCTGTCTCTTTCTCCAAACCCCATAAAAGAAAGCTTTCTCCAAGGAGGAGTTGGTTAGTAGTGATCTTGAAGAGATAGCTGGTGGCAGCCCAAGTCCTCCCAAGAGGAAGAAGCAACCTAAGGAAGTGGCAAATGAACCTGACGAGGCAACCAGCCTCCCTGTTCCCAAGAAAAAGAGGAAATTCTCCTCCAAGGAGGAGCCAGTTAGCAGTGGGCCTGAAGAAGCTGCTAGCAGCAAAAGTAGTGCCAAGAAAAAGAAAAAGCTCAAAAAAGCATCCCAGGATTAGAATGGACATTTCCTGGGGGGTGGGGGAGAGCATGCCCCAAGGTGACCTTTCTCATCCCATGTCCTAAACCCCAATAAAGACAAATTAAAAAAAAAAAAAAAAGAAAGCATAATAAAGGGGTTGGGCACTGGGCACTGGTGACTCACACCTGCAATCCTAGCTACTTAGGAAGCCAAGATCTGGTTGAAGCCATTCCAAGCAGATGGAGTTTGTGAGATTTCCAAAATAACCAGAATATGTCCAGCTGGAGGTGTGGCTCAAGCAGTGGAGCACCAGCTGAGCAAGCAATTGGAGCAAATGTTCAGTCCTGAATTCAATGCCCAGTATTACCAAAAAGCAAAAAAAGGAATAGAGAATGACTGAAAGTAGATTATGCATGTTCGAAGGATTATAAAATTTAATATATGCCAATAAAATATTAAAAAGAATTATGAACTGATTTTAAGAATGACTGTATTCATCTACATCTGCCTGCTTGCCTGTCTGTCTGTCTGTCTACCTATCTATCTATCTACCTACCCACCCACCCACCTACCCACCCTACCTACCATGCTTGTGATTAAACCCAGAGCCTTGTACATACTAAATAACTGTTTTACCACTGAGCTACAGCTCCAACCCCAAGAAACCATTTGTTTTTCTTTCTTTAGACACTGTCATTTCTTTTTAAAATACAACTATAATGTAATTATAAATGCCATATAGTCAATCATTATTCACAGATTCTATTGCAAGTTTACCTAGCCTGAAAGTCTAACCCCCAAATCAATACTCATGGGACTTTTCAAGGTCATTGGTGGCCATGTAAAAAGGCAGCAGAAGTTCGAGTCACTGGACAATTCCAGTCACAGCTGATGTCAAAGAAGGTAATATCCTGCCTTTTTTTTTTTTGGGTCCGGTTGTGAGGACTGAACTCTGGGACTGGGCACTGTCCCTCAGCTCTTCAGCTCAAGGTTAGCCCTCTACCACTTGAGCCACAGTGCCACTTCTGGCTTTTTTCTTTTTGCTTATGTGGTGCTGAAGATTAGAACCCAGGGCCTCATGCGTGCAAGGCAAGCGCTCTACCACTGAGCAACCTTCCCAGCCTGATTTTTGTTTGTTTTTATACTAGTTAAACTTGCATCTTTTCTGTGGTGGGCTTAGTAACGCTTTTTTTTTCTCCTCTTTTGAATTTTTATGCTTTTTGTTAGTGATTTCACTAGTTTAAAATTTCCAAGTTTCCCAAGTGTTGAATTGAAGTGTTGTCTAATGTCTCTCTGTGTGAAGACTACCATGAAAGCATGTATATTGCTGCTGTCAGTGACTCAGTGTTAATTGTTTCTTTAATAAGAAACATATAAAACAAGGTTCTTGATCAGTTGATAAAAATACTATGGCTCAAAAGCTCAATGTAACCTAGCCCTGTATTTTCTTCTAGAGGTAATGATTTAGTATTTACTAATTCAGTGCCCTTAGAAACTTTATAAGCCAATAATTATTCATGAATAATGAGATTCTATTATATTTATGTTTCAGAGAAATAACCACTTCAAGTTGCTGAATGCAGTGAAGGTAGAAAAGTAGTGCTATAGGCTAGAGGTATATAGCTCAAGTGACAGAATCCAAGCAAACTCTTTGGGGGAAGATCCCCCTTACTATCACAGTAAAACTCTAACCCAGGCAGTCAGAATAGATACAGTATCTAACTCTGAATCAGAACATTTAATTACTGTGCTTTCATTTTCTTAAGTGCATACTTTTTGTGTTGTACTGATGAGGTAAACAGTTGGATCATTTCTGAAGGCAAACCATCTCCCCATTTCTAAAACTACAGTAATAGTACTTACTTTGAAGAGCTTCCACTTTTTCTTTCTTACTAACGTACTGTTGACTGCTTCCAAGTGATAACTTTGATAAAAAGAGATCCTTGTGAGACCTAAATGAAACACAAAAGATTGTGTCTGATTAAAAAAAGAGCAGTAAAGTATGAAAAAAAAGGAACATGGCTTATCTTTAGTTGTTCTGAGATTTTTCTTCTCTGTCCTGTTTCCTGTGATGCTCTTGCTTAGTACTCTAGGTTAATATTAAGTCTCTTAAAATTTCTGGTGTCAAGAGTCTTCTCTTTCTTCTTTTCTGAATCTTTCTTACTCAGAAATGAAGATTTTATTAGCTTTACAAGTCAATGGTGGAAAAAAATCCTCAAGCTACAAAGCATTAACTCTTTCCTATAGCTTCTAAACTTCTTTCCCAAAGAAAATTTCAAAATTCTACGATTGGGGGCTGGGAAGGTGGCTCAGTGGTAGAGCGCTTTCCTTGCATGCCTGAGGCCCTGGGTTCAATTCCTCAGCACCACATAAGCAAAAAGAAAAAAGCCGGCAGTGGCGCTGTGGCTCAAGCGGTAGAGCGCTAGCCTTGAGCTGAAGAGCTGAGGGACAGCACCCAGGCCCAGAGTTCAGGCCCCATGACCGGACCCAAAAAAAAAAAAAAAAAAAATTCTACAATTGATGGCAAATATCTGGTTATTTTTACAGCTTAAAAAAAATAAGAGCCGGGCGCTGGTGGCTCACGCCTGTAATCCTAGCTACTCAGGAGGCTGAGATCTGAGGATCGCGGTTCAAAGCAAGCCCGGGCAGGAGAGACCGTGAGACTCTTATCTCCAATAAACCACCAGAAAACCGGAAGTGGCGCTGTAGCTCAAGTGGTAGAGCGCTCGCCTTGAGCTGAAGAGCTGAGGGACAGCGCCCAGGCCCAGAGTTCAAGCCCCACGACCGACAAAAAAAAAAAAATAAGATTGGGGCTGGGAAGGTAGCTCAGCGGCAGAGTGCTTGCCTTGCAATGCATGAGGCCCTGAGTTCGATTCCTCAGCACCACATAAGCAAAAAGAAAAAAGCTGGAAGTGGTGCTGTGGCTCAAGTGGTAGAGTGCTAGCCTTGAGCTGAAGAGCTGAGCGACAGCGCCCAGGCTCAGAGTTCAGGCCCCACAACCGGACCAAAAAAAAAAAAAAAAAATAAGATTGGTCATGTAGAAATACTGAATATGAAATATTTTAAAAACCCTATAAAATTAGTATTATTTAAATTTCATAAAGGAGCAAACTAAGACTCAAAAAATACTCTGCCTGAGCTGAGACAGCTGTATTATCCCCAAAAATGAGGGCTCTTTTTCTTTGGGGGGGGGGGTCCAGTCGTGGGGCCTGAACTCTGGGCCTGGGCGCTGTCCTTTAGCTCTTCAGCTCAAGGTTAGCACTCTACCACTTGAGCTACAGCACCACTCCCAGCTTTTTTTTATTTTTTTGCTTATGTGGTACTGAGGAATTGAACCCAGGGCCTCAGGCATACAAGGCAAGCGCTCTACCACTGAGCCACCTTCCCAGCCCCTATGAGGGCTCTTTTAACTACACTTTTATTCCTAACCACTCTCAATGCAACCAGCTAGTTCTTTTCCTTCTTTCCTCCATCCCCAAACTTTCTACTTTACTCTCTAGAATGCTATTCGTAACCTCTCCACTGGTTTCTCTAGAATAGTTTCTCCTAATACCTCCTCTTGGGAATATTTTTCTTCTTTGTGACCTCCTCCAATGGAGACCAGCTTAATCTTCCATCTTTATAAAGTCTTAGACATTGGTTTTTGTAGTTTCTCATTTGTTTTTGTGGAATTGGGGAGCAAACCCAGCGCTTCATGTATGCTAAACAAGGATTGTACCACTGATCTACAGCTCTAACACCAAGTTTTCATTTTCTAATTTGTATCTCCATAGAACTTAGTCCTTGAGGACACAAGCTACTGAGATTCATCACCTTCTATCATTCTTCATAGCTACCTACTATTCTTCAAAGTACTTTCTATCACTCACAGACCTTGCCTATAATGAAGCACTGCTATTATGAATGACTTCATGGACTAATGGATAAGCTCTCATACCCTGGGCTTATCAATTCCTCATTGCCAATGAATGATCTCTTCCACACCAACTCAGCCACTCTTTCCCATGGTTCCACTCAGCATCCTAATTGACCTATTTCTGAAATAATTCATGCAGACTTTCTGTCCTTTGGACATTGTTATATTGTCTCCCACCTAATTTCTGATAGATCAAATGAAGGTTTTCAGACCGGACTCAAGTAGCTCACTTCTGTAATCCTAGCTACTCATGAGGCTGAAATCTGAGGATCCGAGTTCAAAGCCAGCCCGGCCACAAAAGTCTGTGAGACTCTTATCTACAATAAACCACTGGGAAAACCAGAAGTGGTGCTGTGGCTCAAGTGGTAGAGTGCTAGCCTTGAGCTGAAGAGCTGAGGGACAGTGCCCAGGCCCAGAGTTCAAGCCCCACAACAGACCAAAAAAAAAAAAAAAAAAGCAACCTTTGAAAGGGGGGGGGCATAACTCATTGGTGCACAGCATTTGCTTAGCATATATAAAGCTCTGCGTTTGAAAGAAATGAACTTCATAGACTTTGCAGTTGAGTGAGACACAGACAGTAAGTAGTTAAGCTACTAAGTTCTTTTAATTGTTGTGTTATTTGGCATTGTGGGAGCCAAAAAGTAGTAGCTCTAATAAACAGAGGGCCAGAAGACTTCACACAATCATCTTTGTGATTGGCAAATATGAGCTTGCCTTGGAAAGAATAAATAACCCAATTAAAAGGAACTAATCAAGGGTAAAGGGTATTATTTTAGAGATGTTCTATGTTGCTATAAAGTATCATGTATGTGGACAAGAAAGATAGGAACTACACTTAATAATAAGATTGTATGAGAGCCTCCTTTATCCACAGGAGCTATGTTTTTAAGGCCCAGTGGATGTTTGAATCCAAGGGCAGAACTAAATTATTTTCAGTAGTTTCAATGGTCAGTTGTCAATTGCAATTTGAAAATACAGATGGAATAGTATAGAAATAAATGATTCATTTAGATTTAAATTATGTATCTAAGTACTATGATGAAATCTTACACTTTCCCTGCTTCCTCCTGCTTGGGATATGAGCTGTTTGCTAAGTGTATATATTCTGTATATACTATTATCTGTTAGTCTGTTAATAGCTCCCTTGTTTATCAGTGCTCAACTAATGCTTTAAGACAGGAATGGCATCAAAGTGCAAAAATAGTGATGTTGTCATTTAATACATGCTAAAAGAAGCTGTAAAGTGCTATATGTGAACAGGTAAAAACTATATACTTAAGAAGGCAAGAAAACCGTATGCCAATGCTAAGCTCTCCTGTAAATACAAATGTACCTTGAAAAAGATGATATAAGGTTTTATTTTTTTAATCATGCTGAGTTTTTTGATGTACTTCAAACTGAAAAAGATTCTGGTACAATGCATGATATGCACTTAAGATGAAAAGGCATTAAATTTGTGGGTGGAAGATATAAACAGGAAACATGTCCTATTTGAAGGCAAAATGTTGCAACCAAAAATACTGCATGTAGAGTGACCCCCTTTAATTCACAGGGGCTATGTTCCATGGCAGCAAGTCTTTTTTTTTTTTTTTTTTTTTTTTGGGTCTGGTCGTGGGGCCTGTACTCTGGGCCTGGGCACTGTCCCTCAGCTCTTCAGCTCAAGGTTAGCGCTCTACCACTTGAGCTGCAGCACCACTTCCGGCTTTTTTCTTTTTGCTTATGTGGTGCTGAGGAATCGAACCCAGGGCCTTAGGCATGCAAGGCAAGCACTCTACCACTGAGCCACCTTCCCAGCCCAGCAGCAAGTCTTTCAGTTTGAGGTACTACACCAAAACCAGCAGAATTAGTTCTTGGTTGGTTTGTTTGAGAAAGGGTCTTTCTACATACATAGCTCAGACTAACTTCAAATTTGAGGAACCTCCTCCTGTCTCAAGCTCCTAAGTGCTGGATTATAAGGCTACACCACTATACTCAGCAATATCTTTTCTTTCTGTAAAATTTAGACAGAAGAAAATAATATGTGTAACATTAGGGCTTAGTATAGTCAACAGAGATGCCTTTCTTTTCTTAGTAGGGCAAGGGTTTTTGATGTGCCACTTAAAGAAATGCCATACAGCTTCTCTGTGGCATATTTAAATTGTTAACATCAGTGTATTTTGAGACTATTGCTAAATGTTACAGTACTTCAATAGTGTTATCGTATATCCAACGAAATATAATCATCAGTAAGAAAACACACACAGGACTCGATAATTATCTTTCAAAATGGCTTACTAGCATCACTTTTACCTAGAGACAGAACATTCCTAAACAACGACAAAAATTAATAAGTTTACAAACCTTTTTCCTTTACATAAATCAACTTCAGTTTCCATTTCAATGTTCTTCTTATTGGGCTTATCTTGAGATGTCATTATTCTTGCTTTTTCACTTTCTACTACTTTTGTTGCTGCCTTTAGAAAGGTTGTATATACAGAGGAGAAAGAATGAGTTAAGAGATTTTGGACTAATAGAATTAAATTAAATTTGTTGGTAGTCATAGCTGAAGTATCTGTTCAGTCTATTAAAGGATACCATTCAACAGAAGTTATGACAATGCACAGAGCTACTATAGCTAACTAATTGGTTAATAGGCATAATAGAAGGAGTCTTCCCTAGTAAATAGACATGATGCTCTCTAGGCAATTCTTAAGATAAAATTTAAAAACTTTAAAAAACAAAGTTCCAGCTGGACACCAATGGTTCATATCTGTAATCCTAACTACTTAGGTAGGTGGCTGAGATCTAAGGATTGCTATTTGAAACCAGCTGAGGCAGGAAAGCCTGTTAGACTCTTATCTCCAATAAACTACCAAAAAGCTACAAGTGAAGCTATGGTTGAAATGGTAGAGTGCTAGCCTTAAGCACAAATTTCAAGCCCCAGGACTGACACCAAAATTCCAGTAAAATAAATAAAAACATAGAAGTGCCAGGTATTCTGAGTTATCTTAAATTAATCAGGATTTTTTCTATTATAACAGCATACTATTAACACTGTAAGGCAAAGACAGAATAAAAACATCATTCAAAAAGTTTTTAGGGGACTGAACCTGATTTTACTTTTCCCTAAAAATGCTTAGAAACTTATTTAAAACTAAATATGTTTTCACTTACTTATTATTCTTCAGTTAAGTTTTTCTCTAAATCTAGACTCTACTGCAAGCATTCTTTCCTAATATTTTGTCTTAAGTCTATTGTTAGTCCTTGAAATAATGTGTATACCTTCATTAGAAAAGTTGATGATTTTTCATTTACCACATAGTTCACATAATTCTTAATTTTTTCCATCATGTCGGTGTAGCTGAAGTGTTGAAAAAAGGAGTGGTATGTAGCTTTCTGAGAGATTATTGTAAACAATTTCCTTTCTAAAGACTAAAGGAAGCAGAATGTATTAATAAATACAAATTTAATTTCAAATACAAGACATTTTGGTATATATTATTTGATTGAAAACAATTAAATAATAAATATTACATACATACCTCTCCTATAGAAATATGCCACATTCATCTTTCCTATCTTTGAATATGCTTAATTCACTCCAGTAAGTTTTTAATATTTTAAAATAAATGAGGGCTATTGACTTTAATCACATCCCACCCCAGACTACTAATGATCACATAAACTCTAGAAAGTGTCCATGCACACATCTGTAATCCTTGCACTCAGGAGGCAGGGGCAGGAAGTGTCACTGGGCTACATGGGGAGACCCTGTTTCAAACAAAACAAAAACTCTAGAAAAATAAGCAAATCCTAATGGCTTCTCTATGCTTATGCTGTGTAATGTGTGGTTGCTGAGACCTTTACAAATGGGTATTTTGAAGTCCAACATACTGTAAGTACAAAACAGATACCAGGTGCTGGGAATGTGGCTTAGCTGTAGAGTATTTGTCTAGCATGCATGAAGTCCTGGGATTGATTCCTCAGTACCACATAAACAGAAAAAGCTGGAAGTAGTGTTGTGGCTCAAGTGGTAAAGTGCTAGCTTTGAGCACAACAAAGCTCAGGGTCAGTGCCCAGGCCCTGAGTTCAAGCCTCAGGACTGGCAAAAAAAAAAAAAAAGCAAACAAAACCAAACCAAACAAAAAAAAAACCCAAAACCGATACCAGATTAAAAGGCTTGATACAAAAAAAGGATACATAAAATATCTCAATAATTTTTTGTACAGATTAGTTATTAAAATGACATTTTAAAACATATCAGCATACTTTGGCTTCTATTATTCTTCAGTTTTCCTCTTTTCACATAAACAGTTCTAAAATGCTACAGTTTTAACTTAAACAATTACCGTATATGAATCTGGGTCACCAAATATTCGTTCAAATACTTCTTCTGCTTCCTTAAAATTGCCATTTTCCAGACAAACAGCTACTGCCTTAAAGACAAGATGACAAATACATACCTTAGACTGCTTTTTAAAATATCCAGTAACTGATTATTAACATAACTCAGATTAAGACTAAAATATCCCAAATGTTTTATGCTGTTTAACAATTTTATTTCACAAATGGCATAAAAGATAAAAATATAACTGGCTTTGAAAAATGAAAAAAATATGGTCCTATATATACTTACTAATAAATGATCAGCATTTTATCTTTAATCTGTGTAATTAAAAGCAGAAATTAATAAATAAATTAGAAGCAAAAGGGTATATATTTAGGATTCACTTAAATATTAATTTTGAATAAAAGAGAAATGAGAGGAGGTATTTGACATAATTGGGATACATATGCCTCAGGATCCCTGAAAAATCTACTAGAAATCTACCAAGTCAGGTGACTTTGAATTATCACTTTATATAGTAGCCTTTCTTATATAACACGTGGTTAAGACATGAAGCTACCATTATCATGTGGGTATCTATATAAACTTGGCAGGTTACTTAAAGTGTTTCCTTATAGAAAGATGGTATAGAAAGATGATAGAAGTCAGGCACTGGTGGCTCATGCCTATAATCCTAGCTACTCTGGAGGTTGAAATCTGAGGATTTTGGTATAAAGCCAATCCAGATATAAATCCAAAAGACTTATCTTCAATGAACTTGCCTAAGGGTAAGAAGGTAAGTAAGTGTGCCAGACCCCGAGTTCAAGCCCTAGTACTGGCATACACATACACATACATGCACGTGTGTGTGCAAACACACAGATGCTACACTAACTTCATAGGCCTAACAAGATAATTAAACAGTAGTATTTTATAGGACTTATAAGAAGATTAAAGAGTAATATATAAATATGCTTAGAATGTTTACCTGGCAAATACTATGAAATACATTAAAATATGCTACATACTTAACTGTCATCATGTCAATTTTATAGAAGTGCAGTAACAAAGGTCAGCTTTCTATAGAGCCCCAGAAGATTTGGATAACATAAATCTGTCTTAAGTAGAACTTTTTTTTTTCCAGACCTAGGCTTGAACTTGGGGCCTTTCTGATATAACATGTGGTTAAGATATGAAACTACCATTAATCTAGGTAGCTATATTAACTTGGAAGGTTATTTAACCAGCTGGATTTTCAGTTCTGTCTAACCTTTGGGGGAAAAAATATAATTCTAAGCCAGATGACAGTGGCTCATACCTGTAATTCTAGCTACTCAGGTGCTGAATTTTGAGGTATGCGGTTTAAAGCCAACCCAGACATGAAAGTCTCTGAAACTATCTTCAATTAATTACCTAAAAGCTGGAAATAGAGCTGTGGCTCAAGTGGCAGAGTGCTAGCCTTGAGCAACTAAAGCTCAGGGACAGCATCTAGGCCCTGAATTCAAGCCCTAGGACTGACACAAGACAGACAGACAAGTAATTTAAATTCTAAAAAAATTGATGAAAATTTTATTTAACTGAGAAAGTCCCTATTTTCTCTGACTGGTAGCAAACATATTTCTTCTCCTATTAGACCTTTTGAGTTTTTCTTCCTTTTTTCTTGAACTAAATTATACCCTTGTTCACAAACATAATCTTAGCTACTCAGGAGGCTGAGAAGACTGTGGTACAAAGCCAGCCAGGACAGAGAGTCTATACAACTCTATACATTTTTTCTTTTTTTTGGCTGGTCATGGGGTTGAACTCTGGGCCTGGGCGCTGTCCCTCAGCTCTTCAGCACAAGGCTAGCACTCTCCCACGTGAGCCATAACACCACTTCTGGCTTTTTCTGTTGATGTGGTGCCGATGGATTGAGCCCAGGGCCTCATGCATGCGAAGGCAAGCACTCTACCACTGAGTCACATTTCCAGCCCTAAAACTATATTTCTTATTAGCCAGCAAAAAGCTATGTTAGAGCATGGTTCAAGTGGTAGAGTGCCCACCATGAACAAAATAGCTAAGCAAGCAGTGAAGGGTTCAAGCCCTAGCATTGGCGACAACAATATATTAAATATATCTATCTATATCTCTAGCTCTCCATCAATTGCTTGGATATAAAGCAACAGAAAACTGGAAGTAGCACTGTAGCTCAAGTGGTAGAGAGCTTGCCTTGAGATGAGGGACAGTGCTCAGGCTCAGAGTTCAAGCCCCATGACCAGAAAAAAAAAAATCAAAAACAAAAAAAACAGGGGGTAGAAGGAAGGCTAAGTTGTAGATCAACAGCTGGACAAGCAAAGAGGTCTGGCATTCAAGCCACTGGAGCAGAAGGGAAAGAAAAGAAACTGGAAGAGCACAAATCACTAGATGAGCTGGTAATGTTTAAACTTTTAAACAGATGCAGTGTATTTTCTGTAATATAGGCAATATTTTTCTAAGTAAGAAATATTAAAAAAATATTAAGTTCCAGGTCTAGGAGCTCAAGTCATGACAATAAGCTGAAAATGAAATTTCTCAAGCAAAGAATTTACTAAATTTACTCTGGGTTTACCAATTTTTACTAGATTAATCTAATTTTATTTTGGATGTTAGATATTTACATTAACTAGCAAAATACTAGCTAAAAGCAAAAAGTAATATTCATACCTGAACTTTAATTAAATTTTGTATTTCTTCATGAAGTTTATTTTGCTCCTTTTCAATTGAAGTCCAAATCATCAAGGCTGATTCCAAGGGTGTAATACGTTCATCACTTTCAAACTGTACATCTTTAAAAAAAAAAAAAAAAAAAGCAAAGATAAGTAACTTAGAAGTTAAACAGACCCTTACTTTTGTCCATTTTTTGTTTTTTTTTTGGGGGGTCTGGTCGTGGGGCCTGCACTCTGGGCCTGGGCACTGTCCCTCAGCTCTTCAGCTCAAGGCTAGTGCTCTACTACTTGAGCCACAGCGCCACTTCCAGCTTTTTTCTTTTTGCTTATGTGGTGCTGAGGAATTGAACCCAGAGCCTCATGCATGCAAGACAAGCACTCTACCACTGAGCACTCTACCATTTTTGAAAATCTATTCCTTTACAAAGTTATTGAACATACACTATGTGCAAGAAAGACAAGGTCTTACTATATAGTCAGGTTGGCCTTGAACTCATGTTCTTCCTGACTCAGTCTCATGGCTGACATTACAGTGGTTTCTCACCACACCTGGCTTACGCTTTTCTTTATTAAAATATGGATTCTTCCTAGGATTTAATAGATTTAAAGGCTAAAATATTATTTATTTCATATTAGGTGTCACAGAGACAGAATTCTTCTATGCTTCATATAAATGTAAGCACATCATAATGAAACTCAAGATAAAGTGTAACAAAAAGAATGATGATTATAAATACTATTTTGTAGAACCTTTGTGAATATTTAATATAACCGCACTCTTGTTAATATTCCCTAAAATCTAGAATCTTAAATTCATTCAATACCTATTATGTATAGGTACTCACCTAAAACTAAGATTCTCAAGAAACTTAAAAAATTATCTATTTTTCTTTTCTTCTGCGGGGTAGAGGCAATACTAGGCTGGCATTCATCCCACTTGAGCCATGCATCCTTTCCAGCTGTTTTGCTGATTAGTCTAAGACTAAGAGAATCTCTCAGACTTTTCTGCCCAGGCTGGCTCTGAACTGAGACCTTCAAATTTCAGCCCCCTAGGAGCTGAAGTTTACAGGTATGAGCCATAGTAATGCCTGGCCAAAGTACCTATTCTTATGATGCTTAATAGCTAATGGTAGAGACAAGTAATACAGGAACTACATAAAATAAAAATGGTAATACTGGTGATAAAAATGACAATCAAGGGAAAATTCTTTTAGAAAAGGTAACTGTGGAAGGCTTCTCTGAGGAAGTGACAGTAGAGCTGAGACAAGTATAAAGCAGAAGAAACACAAGGTCAAAACAAAAAATATTCTAGAAACTGGGTATGGTAGTGAAAGCCTACTAAGATGCTGTGGCAGGAAGATCAAAAGGTCAAGGTCATCCTGGGCTACAGGAGCTCTATGCTAATGTGAGAAACATAGTGAAACTCTGAGAAAAAGAGAAGGGAGGGTAGAAGAGAGAAGGGGAGAAAAGAGGAGGAAAGGAGAAACATTTAGGAAAAGATGGCATGTACGAAAACCCAGAGGAAGAGTTTGGTGTTTCAAGAGTAAAAAGGTCAGTTTGTTAGAACAGTGGGCAAGTTGGACACAGTTCATCAGAAAAATGACATGAAGAGAAGTAGGTGACTGTCCAATTTAGAACTTACGTTAAAGGAAGAACAAGACTTGCCAAAGGACTGGATGTGGAATGTGAGAAAAAGCAACAGGGTATTATCAAGCTTTGTTTTTTTGTTTTAGCAGTCATGGGGCTTGAACTCAGGGCCTGGGCGCTGTCCCTGAGCTTTATCGCTCCAAGTTCCCACTTTAAGCCACGGTGCCATTTTCAGTTTTCTGATGGTTAATTGCAGATAAGCATCTTATGGACTTTCCTGCCCAGGCTGGCTATGAGCTGCAATGCTCAGATCTCAGCCTCCTGAGTGGCTGCGATTACAAGCATGAGCCATTGGTGCTGGGCTTGCACTAGCAAGTTTGTTTTTAACTATTGGAATTTTCTTTCTTTTTTATTGTGAAAATACCGTACAGAGGGGTTACAATTACATGGGCAAGATAGTGAGTACATTTCTTATCAAGCATTGTTGCCTTCTCCTTTGTTTCCCCATACCATCCCTTCCTTTCTCCACCCCCCTACCCCCCTACCACCACCTCCCACCCCCACTTCACCCCCCCATCCCACCAAAGTTGTAAAGTTTGTTTTTTGACATAAAATCTTGTACATCTCGTTGTTGTAATGGGTCCACCTGTAACCCTATTTAAACAGTTTGTTTTTTTCCTTCCCCTTCACAAATTATATCAACATCAAATACAGTGAAAGCAGGCATATTCCCTGGGGGAGGTACATACAAAGCAACAAAGAAATCATCTTATAAATATGTTGGAAACAATTGCAAGAAAGAAAAAAACATTTGAATCCTTATCTTGGAGTTCATTTCGCCTAACATCAACTTGTCTGACAGTTTCTGTTTGTCTCACACATATACTAGTTATTGCAAATAAGGGAAACCATGGGACCTATATTTCTTTGGGCCTGGCTTACTTCACTTAATATAATTTTTCCCAAGTCCTCCCATTTCCTAACAAATGGGGCAATGTCGTTCTTTCTGATGGAGGTATAGAATTCCACTGTGTGTGTGTGTGTGTGTGTGTGTGTATCTCTCTATATATGTATGTATGTATCTTTCTTGACTGTATTAACCATTCTCACTAATTTTCTTTATTATAAATGTGAGATAGAAAATTGTTTATTTCACATCTTAGCTTCAAAATTTAAATAGCTAAGCTCTAGTGGCTCATGTCAGTGATCCTACTCAGGATCTGAGATCTGAGGATTATGATTTGAAGTCAGCCCAGGCAGGAAAGTTTACAAACTCATTTCTCCAATTAACCAGCCAAAAGCCAGATGTGGCTGTACACTGGTGGCTCATACCTGTAATCCTAGCTACTCAGGTGACTAAGATCTGAGGATGATGGCTCAAAGCCAGTCTAGGCAGGAAAGTCTGTGAGACTTTTATCTACAATTTAACTCAGAAACTGAAAGTGGAGCTGTGGCTCAAAGTGGTAAAGGGCTAGGTATAAGCGAAAAAGCTCAGGGACAGTGCCCAGGCCCTGAGTTCAAGCGCAAAAACAAAATCCCTTAAACTTTAGCCAGTGGCTGATGGCTCACAACTGTAATCCTAGCTATTCAGGACGTTGAGACCAGAGGATCATGATTTAGAGATACTGTGGACAGAAAAATCCATGAGTCTGCATCTCCAAAATAAAGAGCAAAACTAAGATGGGTTGGAGGCATGGCTTACGTGGTACAGTACCATCCGAGCAAGTGAAATAAGCATATGTGATGCCTTGAGTTCAAACTCTGGTACCAAGAAAAAAAAAATTAAACGTTTACTTCCAGGTAGGATGTAGATTACAACAGACAAACTCACCTGCTATAAATAGCAACCCTCCCCCCAAACCCAAACAAACCCCCTCCCACAAAACTGAGTAGTAATTTAGCCAGCCTTGTGAGTGTTTTACCTTTCAGTGAAGCTATCCAAGCCACCCAAGTTGATATTTTGGAGGATACACGGGCTATCCCTTATAAGGCTACGTAAATTGAAGATTCATGAGAAAGACAAATAGTTACTTTTTAATTCTTATACTCTGGTTTTTGCTGTTTTTTTTTGTTGTTGTTGTTTAGAACAACATTTTACTATATGGTCTGACTAGCCTTGAACTCTCAATTCTCTAACCTTAGTTTTCCAAGTGTTGGAGGTACAGGTGTGTACCTAAACCTGGCTAAAACTAGGTGTTGTTTTTTTTTTAAAGAAAACTCAAACAAGCTAAAGGTTGAGAATTACTGCTTTAGAAGACATTTTTAGAAGATATTTTTCTTTCCTCAGATGATTATATGTGCATAAATTAAGCATATATTTTAACTATACAAACATATTACATATGCATGTACATATAATGTATAAAATATATCACACACATTTATAACTGACCTATATATACATCTATGTATGCAAACATATGTATATATGCACACATACACACGTGTCTATACACATGTGTACATATATGCATGTAGACATATATACACGTGCATCTATATTTATATAGATATGTGCACATATACACATATATACATGTGCATGTATAGGCCAGATATATGTAGGCAAACTCAAAACAACAAAGCAATCAAGACACAGCTCCTATCTGTTTCTTTTCATTGCCTTATATTTAGACATAAGTTAAAATTTCAAATATAAGAAAATAAAACCCACATATTTACCAAGGGATTTTCCTGCTGCAATTCTTGTCAAAAACTGACATATGTATATAGTTCTCAACTGATAGGTTGTAAGACTAGATAGTCCATGAATAATAGCTGAAAAAGAAAAAAAGTGAATTTTATTAAAATAAAATAAAAATTAAATCCAGTAGTCTCATGGTGATTTGCTCAGTATTAGGTTACAAATGGCTTACAAAAAATCATAACTTTAGGCATAAGTTTTGATTAGCCAGTTACACAAAATTAGAACAGAAAAATATCTTTACACTGAACGTTCTTATGGCAAAATAAAATGACATGCACTCTACTAATCAAAAAAATTATATATACTGTAAAATGAATGCATCATAGCACTAGTTTGAAACTTATTTTATGCCATAAAATTCTTTTTGTGCCAGGACTGGGCTTGACTCAGGGCTTTGAACTAGGATCCTCAGATCTTAGCCTCCTGAGGATTACAGACATAAGCCGCCTATACCCAGCTCTCAAATTGTTCATTATAGAAAATATTTTACATTGTATCTGTCAGGTTTCAGTTAAGTAACATTGCTTGGTTCACAAAATTATATGCATTTAAAAATACATTTATTTTTATTTATCTCCCAAATATTTGAATGCCCACTGTCCCTGCCAGTGAATATGTACACTAGTGAAGAAAGTATATTCCTGGATCTCAATAAGCTAATAATACTATGAATAATCTGAAACAAATGACTGAACTACTGAAGTAAAAAATGTAAAAACTGAAAAAAGAAAATTTAAAGAGTGTGCTTAAAGCATCTTTTGGAAGGACTGTCACAAAAAGCTTAAGGGATTAATTTTGAGCTAAGAATGGAAAGTACCATCATTAGTATTGTACTTCACCCAGGGCTTGACTGGTGTATATAAAAAGATTGAATTAGCAAACTCAAATGTTCAGTAACCATAAAGCAATTAAGACGACAAACACATTTACCTATATTTCCTCAATTCTACAGTAGCATAATCTTTGGCTATAACAGACATTATATGGAGTAAATATAGTTGTATTAGTATTAAATAAGATTTGTAGCTATACCAGATACCTAACACTTGCTTCTGCTGATTTTTTAACTTGGATCCAAAAATTAACTAAAAGTAGGAAAAAAGTCAGGCATCCCACCCTCCACTTTATATAAAAGTCCGTGACCCCTAAGCCATTCTTCCTATAGTCAGTCACTTAGCAGCTACATTGGAATCCTGGGGACCAGACCATAGGCCAGGCCTGAATGACTCTTGCCTTGATAATTCCCCACCTGATTATCCTAAAACAATGAATTTGCCAAGACTACTTGGGACTGCTGCATAAAACTCAGGAACACAATGGACAGATTGTTTAACAATTATTTATACCTCTTCCTCAAATTCTTTCCCTTAATGTTAAACTAATTGTCTGCTCTGGTAAGAGAAAGGAGGCTGGGGTCTTTTCTCTGCCCTTCACCAATATCTGTTATTTGGCATGTTGGGGCATTTGTCTGAGTTGTAAGGGAACTCAGTCACAAGAAACAGAGAAGCCACCACTTACAAGATTAAATTATGAGTCTTTATTGGAGAGCCAGAGGACTGCTGATAGACTCCTGTTTCGAAGCCCAGAAGCTGGATTGAAGCTAGCACAAAGCTTACATAGGCCAAAACCACATAAAGTGTGTGGAATTAAACCTAACAAAGGTGTTACACATGAGCAAAGCAAACCAGATGAGTACACTTAAACTTAACAGAAAAACAAACCATCTACAGAAACAATTAGGGGAAATCAAGGGCCAGTTATCTAGGGGAAGCAATGGACCCAGTCTCTTGACTTCAGCTGGCCTTGATCTATGAAATCCAGGAGTTTGGGCCTGGAGCCTAAAATTTCTTGAATACAAAGAGCACAAACATGCACAATTTAAACACAGACCACTAAATATGCACTGAACTCTACTGCCAGCTAGTTTGTGTTAGGAGCTGATGCCTGGGGGATAATAGCTGGTCACTAACCCTCAAGAAAGTTCTAGTCTGACTTGGGACTGAATTTGACATAATTAGAAAAACTTACTCAAATGACTAAAAAAATTTTTTGTTTGTTTTGCCATCCTGGGGCTTGAACTCAAGGCCTGCACACTGTCCCTGAGCTTGTGTTCAAGGCTAGCGCTCTATCACCTGGGCCACAGCACCATTTCCAGCCTTTTCTAGGTAGTTTACTGGAGATAAGAGTCTCATGGACTTTCCTGCCAAGGTTAGCTTTAAACCAGGATCCTCAGATTTCAGCTTCCTGAGTAGCTAGGATTATAGGCACCCAACCTATGACTAAAATTTTAATAGTACCTGAAATAGATGGTCACTAACCCTCAAGAAAGGGTTAGTGGGAGTAAATCTGTTAACTTAAATAAATTACTAAATTATAGACTGAGGGGCTGGGAAGGTGGCTCAGTGGTAGAGCGCTTGCCTTGCATGCCTGAGGCCCTGGGTTCGATTCCTCAGCCCAAATAAGCAAAAAGAAAAAAGCCGGAAGTGGCACTGTGGCTCAAGTGGTAGAGCGCCAGCCTTGAGCTGAAGAGCTGAGGGACAGCGCCCAGGCCCAGAGTTCAGGCCCCAGGACCGGACCCAAAAAAAAAAAACCAAAACAAAAAAACAAATAAATTATAGACTGAAAATAATTTTTAAAAAAACTGGGTCTGTATTTAAATTGTAGATTTCTTTTCCTATTATACCTTAAGTGACATGGCCCAACAATTAACATTCACATTATATGAGGTGCTGTAAGTAATACAGAAACTAGGTATATAAGAAGAGATCGGGCGTGTTCAGGGTGGTATGGCCATAGATGAAACCAGGTATATAAGAGAATTTTGTAAGTTATATGGCTGTTTTGCATATATACTTTTTTGTTAATCAGTTCACTGTATATGCTAGTCCTGGGTTGTTTATAAAACAAAAACAACTTATGTTTCCTAGGAGATACATACATACATGCTAAAAACGAAGCCAAACAAAACGAAAAATGAGAGAGGAACTAATGGCACAACTAAGGAACTAAGTCACAACTACATCTGAATGCTTATTCTAGGCCATTCTCTGTACATTGTGTCAAAGGATTTCAGCTGGGGGAGATTATTCCCCCACTGTATATTTGGCAATGACAAGTGACACTTTTATTGTGAGAGTTCAGTGCTATTGTGAGAGGTTCAGACATTGTGAGAGTTCAGTACTATTGTGAGAGGTTCAGACATCTAGTGGGTCAAAGCTAGGGATGTAATTAAATATCCTATAATGCATAGGAGAGAGTCACTTCCATCTTTCATTACAATATACCAAGTGTTCTTTGCTATTGAGGCTGACTGTGATTACGTAGGTTTGTAGTGTTTGTTATGTTACTCTACTGTTAAGTTACTTCACATCCCTGAACCTTTGGAAGAAGGACCACTGTGTGCAGATCACATGTAAAAGGCGAGTTATAAGAGTAGCTACATTAAATTATAAGTATTCTTTTCTAGCTGTGTGCTGTTGGTGCATGCCTGTTATCCTAGCAACTCAGGAGGCTGAGATCTGAGGTTCACAGTTTGAAGCCAGCCAGGCAGTAAAGTCTGAAATTCTCATTTAACCACCAAAAAAGCCAGATGCAGGGCTGTGGCCAGGCATCATATCATGGTGCAGGACTCCTAGTGAAGCAAAGTAGTAAATAGAGCACTATCCTTGAGCACAAAAGCTCAGAGACAATGACTAGGCCTGAGTTCAAGCCCCAAGACAAGCGTACACATGCGCACACACAAGCAAACATACATGTGCACTCGCGCACACCCACACCCACACAAATCTTCTCCATGGGAAATCTGTCTCTTCTCAAATTTACTCAATCATGGTCATTTTGTGTGTGTGTGTGTTTGCCTATAATGGAGCTTGAACTCAAGACCTAGGAGTAGTCCCTGAGCTTTCTAGCTCAAGGCTAGTGCTTTACCACTTGAGCCACAGCTCCACTTATATGGCATTTTGGTGGTTAATTAGAGATAAGAGGCTCATTGCCTAACGGGCTTCGAACTGTGATCCTAAGATCTCAGCCTCCTAAGTTGCTAGGATTACAGGCATGAGCCACTGGTGCCCAGCTTGTGATTAATTTTCTTAAGTATATCCTCCTTTATTTTCTGATATTACAGTGTGCTCCAACTCATTCTGTATGTTTCTCACCCTATTTCCAGAATCAATAATTTGGGTGCTAGGGATATTTGGGCTAGGTTGCTTCTGTGGACAGAGATGGAAACAAGTGAGTATACACTAAACTAGGTCTATATATTCATACATAAATAATTCTACATCAGCTACAGTTCTAGAATGAATCCCAAAGGGTCTCCAGCTTAGCACTCTAGAGGTTATAGAAGTTTAATATGTGAGACCTGGCAGGAAGTTTTAGGTCACTGTGGGCATGCCCTCAAAGAGACTGGTGGGACTCTGGCCTCTAACTCCTCTCTCCCTTTCATGTCCTAGCCTTAGGGTGGGTTGCTTCACTAGGAGTTCTGCACCATGATGTGATGCCTGGCCATAGGCCCCCACGTATGGGGCAATCAACCAGAAACTGAAACCTCCAAAACTGTGTCCCAAATGGACTTTTCCTTTATATTACCTCAGTTGTTACAGTGATCTGAAGCTAGTTAACAAATCACCTAGATCTATATTAGCTAAAGAGGAATTTATATTGCTGACACCTATGCTAATACATTGCCATATGGATAAATTCAGTCCACTGTCCGAAGAGAGCTTTTTAATAATTCTAATAATCATGGTGAAGTACTCAATTGTAGGATTTAATTTTCGACTTGTGTTAATTATCCATGGCTCCAGTGTTAGTTACATATGATATTACAGGGGAAAGTTAGGTAGAAATGTAGTGACAACTGTGAATGAAGTTTTGAAATATCTTTAATAAGCCACGCTAGTCTTCCCTTGGATAACTTTGCCCATCGCTTGCTGGCTTTCTGGACAGATTTTTTTTTTATTTTTTAATTCTGAGATATATACTCAGCAAGTAGGTAAAAGTGAGAGTTGTTCTGTTTGAGGAGCACACAGAGGATTGAACTCTCAGCTTTACTTCTTGAGCCATGACCCCAAGTTCCTCGGGAGGTTTAAATAGCTCTCTCACACACAAAAGGAACCAAAAAGAAAAGGATCATCACAGAGCTGGGCAGGCCATGGCCGAAGTATACAAAACTAGGTAGGCTCTGGGTAGGGTGCAAACTTTATGGCTCTGGGGGAGGGGAGGGAGAGGGGGGAAAAGGAGGGGGGGGGGAGCGTGCAGGTTCTGGGGCTTGAACTCAGGGCCTGAACGCTGTCCCAGAGCTTTTTCCTCCCAACGCTAACACTCCACAGCTTCACTTTCGGTTTTCACTGGCTAAGTGGAGATGAGAGACTCACAGGCTTTCATGCCCGGGCAGGTCTCGAACCGAGATCCTCCGAGCGTTTACAGCTGCACTGAAAACTCATTGCATCCACGCCATCAACGCCATCACCCCCCCGAGTCTGGGCAGAGCGGCGAGGAGGGGAGTCGGAGGCCGCAGCCCTTCCCTTCCCCGCTGCGCCGGGCTGGGGGGGACAGGCCTGGGCCTGCCCGCCGGCCCCGGCCCCGCCCCGCCCCACCCCGGCCTCCGCGCGCCCCGCGCTCACCCTCCGCGCTGTCGCGGGTGCGGTGGAAGTCCTCGGAGCGGCCGTCGCGGAAAGCCCGGCACAGAGACAGGCAGAGGAAATCGAGCATCCAGCCGGCGGCCACGGTCTCGGCCTCCGCCACGGGGTCCACGTCCTCCGCGTCCGTCTCCTCTTCCTCAGAATCCTCCAACTGCACCGGGCATGCGAGCAGTTCGTGGCACTCGAATTGCTCCCGGTCGTCCCCGTCCATCTCCGTCATCACCTCCTCAGGGGAAGCCGCATCTTCCCCATCCGCACGCCCGCGCGAGCTTCGGGACGCTGAGGAGACCTCCGCCATGTTTAGGTCCTCGCCTAGGTAACGCCCCTTCGCCCAGCGCTGAGCAGCAATTGGCTCTTTCAGAGGGCGACCGCGCAAAGTCTCCGTCCAATCACGTTGCCAGGATCGAAGAGCAGCTGGAGTTTAGCTTCTGATTGGTCAGGATATGCTCCCGCCTCTGGACTTTGAATTCCCCTTGAGTCTGTGGAAGGGATTCCGACGTCTGTCAGCTGGAGCAGCAAGTGAGTGGGAGAGGCCGGTGTCTGCTTTATTCTGCTTTTAAGAAATGCTATCTTAGCCCGGCGCAGGTGGTGGCTCATGCTTGTAATCCTAGCTACTCTGGAGCTAGGATCGCGGTTCAAAGCCAGCCCGGGCAGGAAAAGTCCGTGAAACTCTTTTATCTCCAACAAACCACTAGAAAGCCCAAAGTGGCGCTGTGACTTAAGTGGTAGAGCGCTAGCCTTGAGCTGAAGAGCTGAGGGACAGCGCCCAGGCCCAGAGTTCAAGCCCCACGACCGACAAAAAAAAAATGCTATCTTTTGCTTTAGGGAGAGACAACAGGATGCATTTCCTTCCTGAGGGATGCATTTCTCACCCAAAGATAACAACTGTGTGATAGGATGCCCAAAATGCAGATAGCAGGTGCCTCCTTGTCTCAAGGGTAAGGATGTGTTTTGTGGCACGATTTATTTATTCTCACCTGGAAACTCAGAATAATACCAGGTGTGGTTAGAGCAAAGACAAAACACCTAGTTTTTGCATAACGTGAAGCCAGACCCCCTGCTTTTACCCTATAAGTACCCCAACAGCCCACGGGGCTGTGTGTCTTTCTGGGTAACTCCTTGTGTATGTGTGTGAGTGTGCCTTTCTCTCTCTCTCTGGGTCTGTCTCTGCGTGAATGCCTTCTTATATAACTGGAGAAGAGGCAGGTGCCACTGTGCGGTTGTTGGGTAAGATGGAGTCTTACTGTTCTCTCTCTCTCCTCTCTCTCTTCTCTCTCCTCTCTCTTCTCTCTCTCTTCCTTTTTTACCCAAGATAGTTTCGAATCAAAATCTGCCATCTCTGCATCCTCAAGTAGCCAGGAGTACAGGCTTGTGCCATTGTGCCCAGCTATTAGAATTATTTGTTGAGGATTGAGCGTAAGGCCTCAGTTACGCTAGGCCAGATTCCAACATGTAAATACATTAAAACCCTCTGAATGCTTAGAGTGTATTTTCAATGTGACAGGAATATAACAATTTATTCATTGGCCACAATTTAGAAACTTTTCATAATTGAATGCCTCATAATTGAATTAAAAGTTTATTGAAACGTTTTTCAACACTGCTATATCCTTTTTATGTTTTGATTTTTTTTGTTGTTTGTTTTTTTTGTTTTCTGTCGGTCATGGGACTTGAACTCTGGGCCTGGGCGCTGTCCCTCAGCTCTTCAGCTCAAGACTAGCGCTCTACCACTTGAGCCACAGCGCCACTTCCGGCTTTTTTCTTTTTTCTTTTGTGGTGCTGAGGAATCGAACCCAGGGCCCCGAGCATGCAAGGCAATCGCTCTACCACGGAGCCACCTTCCCAGCCCCTCCATATATCTTTTAAATACTTATGTCCACTATATTGAATATTTGTGGTGTTCCCACATCCATCACTAATATAAATTAATGGTCTTATTATGAATAATTTACATTGCTTTATTTTCTTTTATTTATATCAGTATTCAAACTATAGCACTTTCCCAGTGTGGGCAAGGCTTTAAAAATCGTCAGAGTACAACGGATCTTTAATCACTCCAGATAATATATTTAGCTTTGTCTCTCCATATTAATTTAACCAATTCTTTGACAAAAATCAGTCTTTTATCAGCCCAAGTGATACATGTATTTGACCAGTAGAGGTCACCATGCAATGAAATATCCGGTTAAATAAAAGGCCATATGGTATAATTTCCCTTTTGCAAAGGTTCTTCAATATTTTTGCTTTAATCTGTGAAATTCTTTCTTGCAAGCTCACTTATGAGACCAACATGAAAAAGAGTTTGAACCCAGGGTAGAGTTTGAAAGGTGCTATGAAAATATAAGTAACATGGTGAATGTGGCTTATTAGGTTTGTCCTTATGGCCTTAGAATTTGTTTCCTTTATCTTTTTTAGAACTAAGTTCACAAGAGTTATGGCATCACTTAATAATCAAGAAGCCTCAGGAAGGTGGTATAGGCCAATGTGGCATCCATTAGCCCTTCCCTTTGCCCTTTTATTTATGTTTAAGGATCACTCAGCTCAAGACTGTAACCTTTCCCCAACTCCCCCCATATTTCTCTTTTTTATTATATATAATTTTTCTCCTTAGATCATTTAGCACTCTTTTGGGGTCCGAGGAAAGGTAAGTGTGGGGCTTGCCCATTCCCCAGCCTCCCTCAGCCCGGGAGACAATCAGACACAGCAGGGAGCCAAGTCAAGCAGGAAGAAAACTCATTTATTAACAGAGAGCAGCCCTTTTTAAAGCCAAAAAGAGCAGGTGGCATGGCAGGGGAGGAAGAGGAACCAATCACTGTCAAGGTCATGGGCTTTCAAGGGCTGATTATGCACTGATCATAAGGCAAATTGGGCTCAGCCTACTTTACTCCCTCTCAGCGCCATCTTTGCTGCCTATATGCTCTACAGTAAATCAGGCTCTGTCCACTCAACTCCCTCTCAGTGCCATCTTTGCTGCCCATGTGCCCTACAGATTCCCCCTTTTTTGTTTTAATGGCAGACCCACCTCCCAGTTAGTTATCCTTTTCCCTCCTCTGTAAAGGTTGTTTTAACAGGATTACATTGGTAAGAATAGCATTGGCTACCCAGGGGGTTTGAGACAAGTCTGGGGGTTGAGATTTGCCAGACAAGGATAGGGAGGGCCCTTGTGCATGATCCAAGAGCCTGTCCCAGTTACCTCACATCCCCACCTAGCACAGTAATAAACATCAGCCCCACTACAGTTAGAAATGTCCGAAGCATTTCAATTAATTCCTGGGCATATATAAAAGTCAGTATTTCGTAAGGTCGTCCTCTTCAGAACATGGGAGCAGCCTGGGTATTGGGAGTTCTGCACGTGCGGCATGGTGCATCCTCGTGGGCCCCCACACTCAAGCCATTCTACTATAGTCCAGAAAAACAAGGAAAATTTAAAACAAACTGCAGACATAGCAAAGCAATCCTGGGCACCTGGTGTCTTTTAAATAAGCCAGTTCCTTGTACGTGCCTTTAAGCTAGCACAGGGGTCAAGCTGACCTTTGAGCTTTACTGTCAGCTCCCAACATCTCACATCTCCCCCATCTTTGTTTAAAGAAGCAAACCTGCCTGTCTTAGGTTGAGTGGATCGCCTTGTCTGCCTTACCGGTCATCGGGAACTTCTTCAGAGCGAAGCTGAAGGCCTTGTCTTAGGTTGGTCAGACTGACACCCCCTCTTACCCGTCTCTGGCTGCAATTCCTCTCGAGGGAAATTCACTCACTTGGAGCTTAATCTTATGTAACTGGCTGGCTAAGCTCATAAGAGTTTTGCAGTGCATGTATAATGCAAGGAAGGCATAGAAAAACCATCAGCAAAAGCATTACCAGGCCAGGAAATGTCATTACCAGTCCTTTAACATTAGTTATAGCAGTCTTTGCCACTTCAGAGTCCAGAGGTGGGGCTTGTTCTAATCCAGCTATTTGCCAGTGGGGTTGGAAAAGATCTAAACTGCAAGCATAACAAAAGGTGGTTGTTTAACAATAAATATGGATTCAGTAATGCCGCTATACAATCAATTAGTAAAAGAACAATTAGAGCAGGTAACATTAAAATAATTAGCTCCTACAGAAATAGTAAACAGTTCATACATAATGACATAGGGTGGTGATCAAAATGAAGGTCAGGCCACCAGGTCGAAGGGACAGCTTCTCTTGTGGTGCTATTGATGATTTCTGCATTGCCAGCGTTGATCACTGCCCAGGTCACCCGTTGAAGTTGATGGAGATTACCTAGGGCCATTGCTGGGACTGGGAGGGTCAGCTGGAATATCGCCATCTGCAATTGTTAGAGAACACAAGAGTTTCTCAAGGGCTGGTTACCCTTGGGGATGGTTAGTAGTTATCTTTCTGGCTTTTTCTCTTTTAAACATAAGCCTTGGCCTCCGTGGCCGTTTTTCTTTCCTTGTTGGTTAGCTTATCCTTGGGCATCCTCCTGTATAGAGGAGATGGGTAAAAACGTAAAGTTCCTGGCAGGGATCCAAATGGGGGCTGTCTCCCCTATGGGAAAAACGCATCCAAATCCCCTGCCCATAGTAACTAGGGGATCAGGTCCTCTCCATTGTTGTGTCAAGGGGTCCTTCCACCTGACTTTCACTTGGGGCTTAGGGTTTAGTTGTCCCTAGTGCTTCTGAAATCTGGATTCAGTTGCCCCTTTTGAAAAATGTAAAATATTAAGGGTAAACAAAGCTATCTGTAACTGTATATGGGGGCCAACTCCCCCTTTTTTGTTTTATAGGCTATCAGAATACAAATTAAAGGGGTTTTGAATGTCCCGAAGGGCCATAATTACGACCAGCATTTCTTTATATTGTGCTGACCCTTGACAAGGTTGAAATCTTTGTTGGCTCGGAGTCTTTTGTTGCTCCTCAAAGACTGCATACACAGAGCCTACATTACCTCTGTCAGTAAAAACATGGAGGGCACCAGGAATAGGCACAGGAGGAAATAGAGATAGCATTTTGAGGGGAAGTCACCATAACATGACAGTCCATTTGGATGGCCCATAATGGCAGTCAATTTGGCCTAGAAACCCCTCCAAGGAGAGAGCAAGACGAGTATTGGCTCGAGTGAGCCACTTAACATCTGCCATCCGACAAGGAAAAACAATGGAGTGAGGGTCAAGGCCATAATGCCTTTGGGATTAAGGGCTATGGTAAAACCCCCCTTTTTTAATATGGCAAGAATCTGGGCCAGAAGGCCATCCAGGCAGCTCGGGTCTTGGTGCCCCAGAATTATATCATCCATGTAGGCATAGGCAAGGGAGGTATCTGAACCCAGCACAGGCCC